AACAAAAAAAGAAATATACTTCCAGGGCTGGCCAGTTAGCTCAGTTGGTTAGAGGGTGGTGCTGATAACATCAAAGTCAAGGGTTCAGATCCCTGTACTGGACAGCAGCCAAAAAGAAAGAGAAAGAAATATACTTCCAAATAACACGTAAGTCAAAGAAAAAAATTACAATAGAAATTAGAAAATATTTTGAAATAATTGATCATGTAAATACTATATATCAAAACTGGTGAAGTGTAACTTTAGCAGTGCTTACAAGGAAGTTTTTATCATAATTTCATGTTTTAAGAAGAAAGACTGAAAATTGAGCCACATATCCATCTCAAAAAGTCAGATAAAAAAAGCAATAAATAAAACTCAAAGAAGGAAGAACTGAGTATAAGAGCACAAATTAATGAAATAAAAAATAAATGAGATCCTCTCATAATAAAAAGGATTGATGAAACCTGAAGTTGATTTTTTTGAAGACTAATGAAACTATTAAACTCTGGGTGAGATTGATCAAGAATAGAAATGGCACAAATAATCAGTGTCAGTAATGAAAATGGAAACATTACTACATATCCTGCAGACATAAAAAAGATAAGAAATATAAGTTTTATGCCAATACATTTTTTAAGTTACATGAAATATAATCCTAGAAGAATATAACTTAGCAAAACTGTGTGGTAGGCTGAGTAATGACCCCTGATGATACATCCTAACCCCTAAAACCTGTGGAAGTTACCTTGTATGGCAAAAGGAACTCTGTGGATGTGATTAAACTAAAATGGGGGGATTACCATGGATTATCTGGTTGGGCCCTAAATACTCACAAGTGTCCTTTATAAGAGGGAGGCAGAGACAGGTTTTACACAGAAGGCAGCAGGTGATTGTGACAGTGGAAGCATAGAGAGATTTGATGTTATGCTGCTGGCTGTGAAGATGGAGGAAGGGGCCATGGGCCAAGGAATGCAGTTCCAGAAGCTGGAAGAGACAAGGAAATGGACTTTCCAGGAGCCTTCTAAGGGAGCACAGCCCTGCTGACACCTTGATTTAGCCACATAAGTCTCAATTTGGATTTCTGGCCTCCAAAACCATAAAATAATAACCTTTTGTTGTTTTAAGCCATCAAGTTCATGGTAATTTATTATAGTAGCTATATGAAACTAATACACTGACACAAGAAGAAATATGAAATCTGACCTATAGCCTGTCATTCATGGTCAGGAGAGAGGAACCACCCCAGTTATTTGAATGAGAATCTGCGTTCTAATGGAAAGTTTTTAAACATGTGCTAAAACAGTTAACAGATGTGAAGATGACAGCTGCAGGAAGCAGCTTCCAACCCTAGGACCAAGAGAACAAAGTGATGAAGTTGGAATCATTACATTTAGGAATTAAGAGGCAAAGCCCCACAGATTGGACACTCAGACCTCTGAAGGGGATGCAGTACAGGTGATGCTGTTGTGTGTGTTGGGGATGAGGCAGTGGATGGGTTTGGCTGCAAGTGTTGGGAAAACTGCAAAGTGGATGCAGCTGCTGTTTCAGGAAGACATTGCTGCTGCCAGGGCGAAGCAGCATTCACTGCAGGGGCAGCAGAAGGCCTGTAGGAAAGGAGCAAGTCGGTTTCTCCCCCCTCTTGCCTTTTTTTGGTCTTCCTTGAACTCCCCCTGTTGGTAGAAATTAATATAGAGCCTGCTGGACACACAGAAATGTGGTTTGCGGAATCCCAGGCCCAGCTCACAGAGCAAAATATAAAAGGTAAAGTGTGGGCTGAGAGGCAGTAACTCAAAAACCAGCACAGACAAGTTTCTTAAAAGTGTGGCTGATTTCCAGACGTTTGGGAATTTTTTGGATATTTGGAGTGTAATACTCTTTAATACTCTAAATGATTGCGGTCCTTTGATATTTATTTATTCAGACTTGTTTTTTACCAACCTACAGTTTATCTTGGTAAATATTTCAGTGCACTTGAAAGAACATATATTCTGCTGCTGTTAGGTAGAGTATTCTTTAAATGCTAACTAGGTCAAATTGGTTGACAGTATTTTCAAGTCTTCTACATTTTTTTTTTTTTTGGTCTACTTGTTCCATCAGTTACTGAGAGGGATGTGCTAAGTGTTCAGCCTTGATTGTGGACTTGTCTCTTTCTCCCTTTAGTTCTGTCAACCTTAGCTTCATGTATTTTGAGACATTGTTATTAGGTACACATATATTTAGAATTATTTTTATTCATATTTTTTGAAACAGCTGTTTCCTGACCCCCTCTTGGGAAATTGTGCCCAAGAGAGCTGCTGCATGTGGGTACCCTGCAGTCTATGCTTTCTATGGAAGGGAACCTGAGCTGGAATTGTCAGCCTCGAAGCCCACAGAGCCCATAGTGACTCTGTGGCACTAGCACAGACTTTAGGTCCACACAGATTCAGTTCCGTATGCCAGCAGAGTCCCTGATTCTTGAGGGAATCCATTTTCTTTTTTTTAAACTGAAGATGGTAACCCCAGACCTAAACAGGATTACTCTGAGGCTCAAACATGACCATGGATGTAAAGTGCAGTTCCCTAGCATGGAGATGCCATGAGTTTCTGCTTCCCATCCTGGCCTGCCTTTCCTGTTTTCTCACACATGATCTGCCTGCTGTCCTCCTAGACATCAGCAATCATAAGTGTCTCTCCTAAACTTACTCAGAAAAGGCTCCTGAGGAGTGTTGACCTAAATGAAACTGAGGCCAAATGTATAAAGCATGGAATTTATTGAGGCAATATGATGATTGCAAATGGGAAAACACAAAGGTCAGGTCACCCTGAAAAATGTGCTCTGATAGGGGCCAACAGAGCTCAGCATTTTATAATCACATGAAGGGGAAGAACCAAAGGAGAGAGAGAAGAGGACAGTCCCCTAATCATTACATTAGTTTTTCTTTTGGCTAGTACACATACGTAGATTTTGGATTATTACTAGGGTACATCCTCCATGCAGGAATGTAAGGTAAGGGCTACAAGAAACATTCTAGGTTATTTTATTGCTTCTTCTGGTGCTTTTATGTTTGGAAACGGTCTTATGATAATGTTTTCCAGGACATGGCTCATGATTGCTGGCTTATCCCAGATTTTTCAAGACACTACAATTTGACCTGAGCAGAGCAAACTTTTTAGTTATCAGGAGGCATGACATTCCTGTCATCCTCTCCACTGAGCCCAAAACCTCTTTCTCCTTCTCCTTTATCAACAGAGCCTCCCCCTAAACCCATGTTTGAGAGAAGGAGGTGGTCAGAGAAGTCCAATGAGGGATATTATCTGGGTATTCCAAAGTCCTACCTTCAGCCTCTTGAGTTCAGACACCAGATTTTCCTTGTCTGCCAGAGGTGAACTCATGTAAGGTCTGTAGTGACAGGTCCACAGAAGGAGCCAGCAGGCTACTGGCCATGAGGCTGACATCCCCACCATCCACCACTGGTACTGGTATACATGGAGAGAGAGATTTCTCAGGAAGAGTTGTGTGAACGAAAGTGAGCTGAAATGCTGGGTACTGATCAAGCTTTATTAAAGGAAAAGAATCTGCTGGGCTGTGCTCAACGTGGAGGGCAGCCGGGGCTGCCCTCAAAATGGAGGACAGCAGTAGGTGTGGGGGTGGGAGAGCTTATATAGGGTGCCAAGGGCGGGCTGACACAATCAAGGAGGGGCATTATGCTAATGCAGAAGCTATGTGACCAGGGTGGAGAATTGCGCCCTTGTGGAAGCAAAAGGGTGTCTGTTTCTCAGAAATCATGAGGTTTCTTACAAAGGGAGGGGCTGATGACTATTTTGTGCTTATTATGTGCAAAATGGTACTGGTCACGTCCAAGATCCATCATTGTGTAGCTCAGAGAACCAGAAAGACTGGTGGGACTGGAACTGCAGCCCTTTGGGTCTTTCTCTCCCTGCTTGAGTCTAGCTCTTGCCCGTCAGCATCCTTGCTGTGTCCTACTGACCAGCTGGATGTTGCCACAGCTGCTCCAGTCTTATAACTTTCCAGTTAGCACTCCCGGGGCAAAGGGCTTCTCCCCCTCAGCTGTACCATATAAAGAAGGGTTTTGATATAAAAAGGGACTATTGTCCCCTTGGATAAATCTGTTTGTTTAAGGGGATGAGATACTGTGATTGGCCAGGCCTGAATCACTTGCCACAAAATTAGGGTATCATTATTGGCAGCCCTACCAGACCCATGTGAAATTTCAGGGTGGGAGTGGGGACCAGGAACAATGAGGCTCTTACTCAAAAGAAACGGGGTTCTGGGTAGACAGAAACAGCGGACATCACCTCACGTTCTCTCCAGGGCATCTCCCTGGCAGTGTTCAGGCTCCTGAGAAGTCACATTATAAAACTGGATGTTGATGGGCAAGCACGGGCATCAGTCTCAAGGAGTAGGAATTGTGTGGTTGCCCTGGAAATCGTCTCTGTGCTCTGGGGAAGGCCAGTAAGGGAGCACAACTGGGAAAATACTCTGAGTGGTAGAGTCTGGTATGCAAAGGCCTGTCCCTGAGCTGAAACAGATGCTGGCTTTCAGTCTGGCTGTGCTGCTTACTAGTTCTAGGACCTTGGGCAAATTACTTAAACTCTCAGAGCCTCAGTTTCCTCTCCTATAAAATGAGGTAACTTTGGTGAATCAGTGACATCTTACACTACTAAAATTTAGTAATTACGTATTTTTTCTGTAACTGGATTGTTCCAGTCCACCACTCCATTCACATGGGCCTGAGAGTCTTCTTGTTCTGTGTTGATTTCATTAGACCAACTCTTCAAGTCTGGGCCCCTAGCCTTGGCCTGGGGACTGGCTGGTGTGCTTGTGGGATGCCTGACCCTCAGTGTTGTGCCTCTTTCCAGAGAAGGCAGTGGGCTGTCCATCAGGACAGTTTTCAGAGGAATGTCAGTCTGGCCCTTCAAGGCGCTACTTCCTCTGCTGGGCTTCATGTGGGGAGCGCAGCTAAAAAACACAAACTGGGCTTGAGGGCTCCATCTCCTGCCTGTTTTCTGGATTGTAGGAAGAATGGAGCCAAAGAGAAATTGTGAGCGTGGCAATGGCTCAGGCCCTGGAGGAGGTGCGGAAGCAAAGGGAAGAGATCCAGCAACAGGTGGGTCCCATTTGATGCTAAGGTGTCGGCCAGAGGGGTGATGCCCCCCTCCTGCAGTCCTGGGCGGACCAGCCTGGGGGTCCCCCTGTGTCTACCTAAGGGGTGGATACAGGTCTTGGGATTACAGTCAGCTCTGTGATACTCCTGTGGTCTCTAGGAAACTGGGATAAAAATGTTATTAAGAAACTCTCGGGTGACTGGTTAGTTCAGTTGGTTAGAGCACAGCCTTGTAACACCAAGATCAAGAGTTCAGATCCCTGTACCTGCCAGCCGCCAAAAAGAACAAAAAAAGCCTCACCCCATAGGATGCCCTTTGGTTGTTTTTGATGGTCGGTTGCTAGCTATAAACATTACCTGGAAAATAAAGAACATACCCAGGGACTTACTGGCTCTAATTCTGCGGGGTGGCCCATTACTGCCCTCAGACCCCGAAGGCTACATAAGGTTGGGTCAAGCTCTTGGTAGGAAGTGTGGGAAAAGCCTTCCTTTGAAGATAGACTTAATGTCTGACCCCAGACCTTCTAGTTGACTGGCTCTAGGCCTTTGGTAAGCCTTTAACAGATGAGTCTCAGAGTCACCTCTGAAAAGGACTTTAGGATAACCAGAACTTCTAGGATATTATAATGAGGTAATGTATATCAAATGCCCACCCTGTGCTGGGCACATTGCAGGCACTCAGAAATGGAAGTTACAGGGCCGGCCTGGTGGCGCACTGGATAGTGCGCCGCTTGGGAAGCGCGGCGGTGCTCCCGCCCGAGGGTTCGGATCCCACATACAGACTGGTTCCCGCTCACTGGCTGAGCGAGGCACAGGAGCAACACCAAGGGTTGCGATCCCGTTGCCGGACACGGAAAAAGACAAAAGACAAGAAATGGAAGTTACAGTCATGACAGCTTGTTGGAAGGCGGGGCAGAATGGCCACGTCTCTGGTTGGCCACTGTACGCCAGAGGGGCAGTGAGAGGCAATTGTCCTCATGGAGAGCCTCTGCTAAGGAGAGTGGATTTGTGCATGTTTATAGGAGCAGAGGTTAGCTTGGGATCTGTACTAGGCTGTGAACTTCAGGGAGGGGTTCATGGTGGAGTCTGGGCAGTGGGAGATGGGGTTGCTGCTGCCAGCCTTCTCTCATGTTGATTTTTCTCTCCAAGGCTGCTAACCTGACAGCCATAATAGACAAAAAGGAGCAGAGTCTGCAGGAAAAAACTGAAGTGCTTCTCCAGAAAGAGCAGGAGATTCTACAGCTGGAGAAAGGTGAGGAGCCTGCCCCCGGCGGAGCCTTCTTCTCTCCTTTTCCTGCCCACACCCCTTCCCTGAAGTGGCCCCATTCCAAAGCCATGTGGCATCACTGGGCTTGCAGTGCACACCTCCCCTATGACGCCGACCTAGGTCACGATGCGGCCCTGCTGCAAATGCACCAGCTACAGGGTGAGCTGGAGGCCCTGAGGAGCCTGCGGGCCGAGGAGGCTGCAGCAGCTGCGGCGCGGGAGGACTTGCTGAGGCTGCGAGCCCAGGAGCAGGGCACGGCCCTCTTGCATGTAAGTCCCAGCTGTGCCCGCCATTGCCAGGGGAGGAGGCCATGGGAAGACACAGTGGGAAGGTCACCTCCCCTGCGCTGAAGCATCCTTTCTGTAAAGTGGGGGCACTTGGCTGGCTGGGAGATCGTGAGGCTGAAGAGCCTATTGTGGGTGATAACACTTGTCAGTGTGCATTTGTAAAGCCTCTTCACCTGAGCAGAGCCTTACTGCATGGAAAGCTAAGGGTCCCTCTGGAAGCATGGGATGGGATCTTCTCCAGTTGAAATTTGGTTCCCTGCCAGCCGCCTGTTGGAGCACACCAGGCCACACCAGTGGAAAGAATCTGGTTACCCTTCCCCATGCACCTGTGGCTTAGCCTCAGCATTACCTGTCCTGGCTCTCAACTTGCTGCCACCACCCCGTAGGTGACCTCGAAGGCCATGCAGGACCCTGTGTACCAGCTTCCGGCTGCAGAAGGAACACCGAATGGTGAGGTTGGGGCCATGGGTCTAGGGCAGCTACAGAAGGAAAAACAGGACTTGGAGCAGCAACTTGCAGAGAAAAATAAGGTGAGGGCGCCCTTTGCCTCGGCCACTCACATCTCTACTCTGTCTTCACCCTCGCACCCAAGTAACTCAGTCCCTTCTTGGAGGGATTTGCTAGCGCCCTGGCGCCTCCTGGGAGACTTTACCTCTCTTCAGAAGAGCTTTCTGCTGGTCTTCCTCTTCTCATCACCTCTTGCCTTGTCTTCCTTTCACGTCTGTCCTTTTTACCCCCACCCCCTGGAGATACTGCCCGGAGTGTCAGAGCTTGAGCACAGCTCTGCTGTCCCCAGCTGGGCCACATGCACGGCCCCCTTCCTCTGTACCTTCTTTCTACAGCTGTGGACTGACAGCACTGATACGTGCTTTTAAGGGTTTAGTTTTTGTAGGGAAGAAGGTTGAAATGAAAGCATTTGTTAACTGTCTTGTAAACTTTCTGGTATTTGATAGAGGCTCAATAAATGTCATGATTCCACCTTGCCCTACCCCAGCACCTGTAAATTCAGGGTCTCATTTGATCCTGTTTTTTTTTTTTTTTTTTTAATAATTTGTGGCTGGTGAATGTGGGGATCTGAACCAGTGATCTTGGTGTTGTAAGGCTGTGCTCTAACCAATTGAGCTAACTGGCCAGCCCTCGATCCTGGTTTCTAAAGTGCTCTGTGAAGTGTGTTGGCTGTTATTGCTCCAGCCTGAAATTCTGCCCTGAATGTGTGTGTGTATGTGTGTGTGTGTGTGTGTGTGTGTGTGTGTAGATCTTTATCAAAGGGGAGAAGAGTTCACTCTCATTTAATCTCTCATAGTGAAATATAAAATACACACAGAAAAGTGTGCAAGTCAAACGTGTGACTCAGTGAATTAACACAAAACGAACATCCATGTGATTAGCCTGGACATGAATCAGGACATCAGCAGCACCCCAGAAGCCAAGCCCCCCTCAGACCTCTCCCTCTCCTTCCCTCACTGGATCCTGATTCTACGACTGCCGCTTGCGTTCCTAGCCACTGGTTTATGTGCGGCCCCACCAGGACCTCGCGTCTGTTGGGCCTCTGTCCTCACTGGCACAGAGCCATCCTGCCCTTCTCACTCGGCTTAGATCCCACCGTCTGCCACCATAACCACTGCCCAGTGACACCCTCAATTCTCTGGCCTTCTCCCTTCCTCAGATTGTCCTGGCCAACTCCTAACTCCAATTAAGGCCAACTCTTCCCTGCTCCCTGCCTGCAGGCATGGAGCCAAACCTGGCTGGAGAACACACAGTCACGCTGGCGAGTCTCCCTTGAAACTCAGGACCCGTCTCCCAGGCAGCCTGGTGCTCCCCAGTACACCTGTGGCATTTGCTAGGCCATCCCGTTCCTCCGACCTCCTGTCCCCCACCCCCACCTCTTCCGTCCTCGCTGTCCCGCTGGCAGCCTGCATCTGCTTGGCTGAGGGGCGGCTTTCCACATCCCCACCCCCGGCATCCTGTAGCCCAGCCTCTCTGGTTACGTGCCGTTCCTGTCGCCTACTCGGGAGCATCACCACTCTGGCTATTCTCTCTTCTTGCCTGTCATGACTTTCTGGAGGCATTCCATCCACTTGCAGGTGCACTGTAACGTAAACCGCCTTACAGCAGCACTCTCGACTCACACCCCTTCCAAGGCAAACGTGTAGAAACTTGCCTTATTTGCTGTCTCCATTTCCACGCCTCCTGTTCCCTCTTAACCCAGTCCAGTCAGGCCTTCCCCCACCACACAACAGAGAGAAGCTCTTGTCAGGCTCATCAGTGACGTCCACACTGCTAAGTCCAGAAGTCAGTCCCTAATTGGCCTGTCAGCAGCATTTGAACCTTAGAGCCGTCCACAGCCTCCTTGGTCCTTTCACCACCAACATCCGGGCTGTTAGCAATTGCATTTGGCTCTCCCTTCACATTGTAATATCTACCCAGGACCAACTGCTGCTCATCGCTGCCCCCACCACCTACTCCAGGTTACCATCATCTCTTCTAGACGTGACATTGGACTTCAGTCTGCTTTCCCTGTCTCTCCTCTGTCCCAGCCCTCTGGGGACTTCCTGTCTCTCGATGAAAACTGAAGTCCTTGCAGTGGCCTGCAAAGCCCTATGTGATCTGCCCCTTATTACCCTTTTTCCTCACCCCTTCCATCCCCATCACTCCCTCAGCCACATCAACCTTGCCTTTGTGAGTACATCAAGCACCTCCCACCCCAGTGCCTTTGCACTTTCTGAGCCATCAGGAAGATTCTTCCCCCACTTACCCTCACTTCCTTTGTGGTGCTATTTTATCAGTGGGGCCTCCCCTGCTACCCCTTACAAACCTGACCACACAAACTCCCTCACCCCTTACCTTGCTGTCTTTTTCTCTGTGCCTCTTAACACCTTCTGATGTATGTATTGATTAACTCTTTTCCCTCTTGAGGGCAGAAATTTTGTCTTTTTCGTTTACTGCTGTTTCTGCAGCCCCTAGGACAGTGTCTGGCACACAGTAGGACTCAATAATTACTGGATGAATTAATGAATGAGCAAAAAACCCAGGAAACCAAGTAACATAAGATAAAATAGCAAATGTACTTTTGGGGGAATGTCCAGCCTTGTGGTCAATCAAGAGAACACAAATCGAAACCACACAGTGCCCTTTTATAAAACTGAGTAGTGTGCTCGCTTTGGCAGCACATATACTAAAATTGGAATGATACAGAGAAGATTAGCATGGCCTGTGCGCAAGGATGACACGCAAATTCATGAAGCGTTCCATATTTTTTTGACTAAATTAAATTTAATTTAAAAAAACTGAATGTGTTGGAGGTAGTTTAAAATGCTTCACAGCACAGGAGCTAGAAACACTTTCATGGTCCCTGACTCAGTAACCTCCTGCCTCAACAGAAGCAGTGGGATACCTCTCTTGAGGAAACAAAGCATATCCCAGCTTTGTTTAAAAATAAAAACCCAGCCACACAATTAGACACGGCATTCCATAGTTACTATCACATTAAAAGTTAAAATTAGGAAAACTGTAGGAAGCTGTGAAAACTCTGATAAATGAAAAAAAGTGTTCTAAATTCTGGCTACTCAGTGCAAGAAAGGGGACGTGGATTGGAAGTAGACAGGAAAGATTCATTTGATATGAATTTGTGAAACTGGAGAAGTTTTGTTTTTTTGGCAGCTGGCCAGTAGAGGGATCCATACCCTCAACCTTTGGAGAAATTTTTATTTAAAAATTATTCCTGCATTCATGATTACATAGTAAAATTTTTAATTAGGAAAACAGAGTTCAACATTTCTAGTGAAAAATGGAATGTATAATAAATTATACTTAACGGGCCGGCCTGTGGCTCACTTGGTAGAGTGCGGTGCTGATAACACCAAGGCCATGGGTTCGGATCCCATATAGGGATGGCCGGTTTGCTCACTGGCTGAGCGTGGTGCTGACAACACCAAGCCAAGGGTTGAGATCCCCTTGCCGGTCATCTTTTGAAAAAAAATAAAATAAAATAAAATAAAATAAATAAATAAATAAATTATACTTAAGGCTTGTAATACTAATTAAACTCATTAATAAAAGAAAAAAAATAAAATAAAATAAAATAAATAAATAAATAAATAAATTATACTTAAGGCTTGTAATACTAATTAAACTCATTAATAAAAAATAAAAGGAAATAAAAGACATAAATTCCAATGTTGGCGAGTTGTGCAGGAGGACCATGATCTTTTACACTCTTCAAAATAAGCACTGCAGGCCAGCCCGTGGCTCACTCGGTAGAGTGCGGTGCTGATAACACCAAGGCCACGGGTTCGGATCCTATATAGGGATGGCTGGTTTGCTCACTGGCTGAGCGTGGTGCTGACAACACCGGGCCAAGGGTTGAGATCCCCTTACCGGTCATCTTTTAAAAAAAATAATAAAAAAAAATAAGCACTGCAAATTATGGTATTTCAGGAGAGCAGTGGTAATGATGAGGACCATAATTCTGGCCTGAGTGTGCTACTTGGGGATCACAGTACATAAATAACATTCGGAAGGACAAGTGCAGCAGAGCCGTCTCTGGCTGTGCTGTTTGTGGAGGCAGGCACTGGAAGCAGGCCCTAGGCCCAAGCCCACGAGAAACAGTTGGGGCTTCCCTGGGGCACTGGGGCATCCCTGTCCTGCACAGAGAGAATATGACCACTTGGTGGCCACGGTGGGACTGGAGAGGCAAGTGTGTGGGAAGCGGTGGCACGGGAAGGAAAGACAGCCCAAGAGTAGCAGGCACATGGGTGTGACAACTGAGCACAGATCTCTGAGGTTGAGTTCTTAGGGCAGAGACTTCTGACAGGTATGCAGGGCATTCAAGGGAGTGTATTCTGCTCTCTTTTCCTTTATACCTTAAAGATGGTGAAATGTACATCTAACGATTGGCTTTTTCCGGGGGGTTTGTCTCAGACCATAAAGCAGATGCAGCAGAGGATGCTGGAGCTCAAGAAGACTCTGCAGAAGGAACTGGTGAGTGCCCGTGCAGTGCGCCAGCCCAGCTGCTTGGCCCCTCTTCTTCCCACTGCCTGTGCCCTTGCTGGTGCTCTGGTCCCCTTGGGGTCCCTTGCTGCCTGATGATGCACACCCTCCCCTTGCCCCCAGTTGATTACAAGGGGTCTCTGGGAAGTCAGACATTAGCTGGTGGGACAATGGGCCTGCCAGCTTAGACACACCCCTGAGAAGTGGCTCTGTGACCTTGGGTATCTGCCTGCCTTCTCTGAGCCTGCATCCTCATCTGAAAACGGGCTGCTCTGGCAGTCAGCGCAGTGATATTTGTACAGTATGTGTGTGGCAGAGTGCTTGGCCCGACATGGGATGAGAGCAGCACCTCTGCTCCAGGCTAGGGTGCTTATTACTACCCTGGGGACATGTGTCTTGACATGGATAAGGAAATGACCTCATTTCCTCCTCTCAGCCCTCAACACCACCTGGAGGAGCTGAGCCGTCCTCAGACTCGGGGGCTTCCTTCCCTGGGGGGGCGCCTTTTTGCTCTACAGTGTGCAGGGTGTGGCACAAGAACAGCAGAGGGTCACAGCTTGGGTCAGGAGGATCTCCCAAGTGATTTCTAGGCCTGTCTTGAAGACTTCAATGGATCCTTTTTCCCACTGGTTTTTCAGAAAATCAGACCTGATAATGAGCTTTTTGAAGTCAGGGAGAAACCCGGCCCTGAAATACTGAACATGGCTCCTTCTGTCACGAATCATGCTGACCTGACTGAAGCCCGCGAGGTCAACTTTGAGTACCTTAAACATGTTGTTTTAAAATTCATGTCCTGTCGAGAATCTGAGGTAAGGGGCTTCTGAGTTGCCTTTTGGGTACTGAGCCCTGGCCCTGCAGAGCCCGTCCTGCGTGGCTCCCCTCCCCATCCGACTCAGATCTCTCCCACACTCCCACATGACCACCCACGTGGACACCGTCATTTCTCCTGCTGGCGCCAGCCCGCTGATTGAGCAGCAGGCAGAGGAGAGGGGAGACCATGTAGGGAACTGACTCCTGGTGGGAAATGTGGGCTCCACTTCTAAATCCTGACTCGGATGGGTTCGGGTCCCATATATGGATGGCTGGTTAGTTCATTTGGGAGAGCGTGGTGCTGACAACACTAAGTCAAGGGTTAAGATCCCCTTACCAGTCATCTTTTAAAAAATTAATAATAAAAAATCAATCAGTCAATCCTGACTCGGATGCTGAGGCCAGAGGACAGGGAACTGAATCTGCCCAGCGTGCCTGCATGCTGCCAAAGAGCAGCATAGCTTCCGAGGATGCACCCTTGCTCCTGCCAGTCCCCAAAGCGAAAGATGGAGCGGGAGAAAGAGAACCTGTCGTTGCGGTCAGACCTCAGTGGTCAGACCTCTCAGCTTCCCTGACCACCTGGTCCTTGCTTAACCAAGGAAAACAGGCAGTGCTGTGGTGCAGCCCCTAACTCCCCGCCTCCACCCCCACCAAGGCCCATGGGCAGCAAAACTTATTTTGTTTCAGGCTTTTCATCTTATAAAAGCTGTGTCAGTGTTGTTGAACTTTTCTCAAGAGGAAGAAAACATGCTCAAAGAAACTCTGGAATATAAGGTAGGGTTCTCTGGTCTGCTGTTCCAGCTTCCAAAGCATATAGTTAGTAATCCCAGCAGTGCCAAATGAGACCAGCCTCTGGAGGCAGGTAACCAGCCACAGCTGCATTATCGGCCTAGTTGCTTTTGGATGATGAACTTGATCCAGGCAGCATCTTTTGTGCCCAAATGTCTGTGCTGTGCTTGATCAACAGGCCTTGTATCTTTGAAAGCATTTTCATTGCTGTCACTTCAACAGCCGCAGATCTGGCCCAGCACCCAGACTTCAAAAAATTTTTTTCCAAAAGCACCTTCATAAATGCTGTAATAGAAAAAAATAAGGAAAAACTGCCTGCAGTTCCACTACCTTGTTCTCATCCACTCAGTTTTTTTCTCAGTCCCCTCCCGTACTCAGATTGGGTTCTTGGAGGGTTACTGGGCTATCTTCACTGCTCTTTTCATGGCCAGAGGCGGGATGGTTGGAGGGCAGGCATGGGGCAGGCACAGGGAAGGGGAGGGGCGGGCTTCGCTTCCTCTGCACCAAGTCCTGATTCTCATCGCAGAAAGCTTTTCTGTTTCAAATGCAGATGTCGTGGTTTGGGTCCAAACCAGCTCCCAAGGGCAGCATCCGGCCATCTATCTCCAGCCCTAGGATACCATGGTCCTAGAGGGAACTATCCAAGGACGGAGCTCCACGGGTTGACGCTTTTTCTGTGAAAAGAACACTGACACACCAGTCTGGGTGGGTTTTTAATCACTGTAACTGCAGTATTTTGTACAAGCATCTAAACATTGTTTACAAGACTTAAAGCCCACTTCCCTGCAGGCTGACATGAACCTCAGGAGGTAGCTGATCCTGTGTCATTCTGGTCACCAAAAGGGAGGGACCTGGCACACTACCCAGATTTCCACAGCATTGCTAATGTCCCAGCTCTGGCCAGCACCCTGTCTGCACCTGAATCCTCTAACTTTTAATGTGAGCACTTAAAGCTAAAGCGACCAGCATCGTCAGGAGGCAACTGATTTCAGGTAGTGATGGCACTGGAGGTCGGCAGCCCTTGGAAGTGGTGCCCAGCAAGCCAAACCCACCTGCTTCTGCCATGGACAGCCAGCTCGGTGGGGGAGAGGGAGGCCTTTTAACAGTTCCCCTCGTTAGCATATTTGGCTTCAGATGAGTAAGAAGAGGATTTTTAGCCCTTCCTCTCAAAACATTATTTCACCTTGTGTCTCAAACCACCTAGTACTTTAGATGGGTACATCTTTAAGGTACTCTGGGCCAGTGTGGATTAACAAAGGATGTGCCGCTTTCTGACGGCATCTCCATTTTACTAAAGAAAACTAGCACTTACACAGAAAGATCCTTAGTACCAAATACACTCAATTGCCTTTTTAATGAATGTACTTGTCTTGGATAGGTTGCTGGTAAACCATTTTAAACTATTTTTTATAGCTAAAGTTCTTCACTATTATAAATATGTCTCCTGTATTATAAAATCCACTTCATTGGTGTTCTTTACAGGAAAATCAGAGCATCAAGAAGTTCTTATTCCTAAACTTAGGATTCCTGTCCCTCTGTAGTTTCACTAGCATCTCCTCTGTGAAGCAGTGTGGTCCTTCATTCACTCTGCTCTTAATTCTGTGCTGTGCTACGCTACCACTGAGCAAACGCTAATCAGTTTTTCTACCTAAGGACAGTCTGCTGTGATCAACAGAAGCAGCAGCTGTCCCTTCCCCCAGCCTTGACCAAAACGTGGGAGGCAGTCTAGAGCCTCTGTCCCCCCACCCTGCCTCCAAATATTTAAAATGACACTACATCCATAGATGGCAGCCCCCAGCTGGCTGCAGTCCTTGAGCAGGCACATGGCTCCAGTGGTGACTGATAAGAAATCGTATTCATTATTACTGAGGAAAAGGGAACATGCTTGTTCTGGGTAAGCCACAATATTGAATCTAAAGGGAAACCATTTACTGATTTATAGTTTGATGAAAGTTTCACTGGTTAAATAAAAAACTGAATTTATAACTGGAGCTCCTAAACTTATGATCAGTTATCCAATGATGTAAAGTTATGTTTCTCAGTAATGCTTGGGGAGGGGCGGGGGGCATATATATATCTCACAGACCAATATTTGCAGTTAACCTACTAAATTTCCATGAAGTTCCAAGCCAGGGCAGCATCACCTTAGTCCAAACGAACCATTCTCCTGTTACCTACCTACCTCATGTGGCTCTTCCTTGCAGATGTCTCTCCCTTGTTTAGAATGCTGTTTTGCATTTAACCTGGTAGGGACATGAAACGAAAGTCCCTTCTATTCTGCAGTTCTGAAGAGTAAGAGGTAGCTTTTTACAAAGTAGGATTTACCCTCCTTCTCAGCTGTCTAGGAAAGAAGCCCTAAGATTGGGTAGTTTAGGGCTTGCAGAGGCAGCCACAGCACTTCTGTGGAAGCCTGGCCAGACTCCTGTGGCTTCTTCAGCCCTTGAGCTGGTCTCACCCACCTCCCTCCCCCAGCAGTTTTAGGTGTAGCTGTGGGGCCCATTACTGATTCTGTTCACTCTTAGGGAGGATTCACTCTGATTAGGCTTTTTCCTCCTGCATGTTGAATTTCTTTCAGCTTTAAGAGGAAGAGTGGACTAAATATTCTAAGTGATTTAATGCACTTTTACTTGTATAAAACTTACTGTGATAGAGACAGTTTATATAGCCCTTTATATGAGAATTGGATAATGATCTCTCCCTCAATGTTGTAAATAGGGATTGAATTATCTAAAACTGCTGTAGAAAATTCATTTGTGGTGCAATACACTTTTTGATTAAAGCTCTTCAATCCAGATGCAACTATAGTGGGTTTACTTGTTATAGCTCAGTGTCAATATTTCTTTGACTTGTTAAATCTAGTACATTGTGTCTTGTATCTAAAACTTCAAGGCCAACTTGAAGGGCTATAGAACACTGGCTTTCAGAAAGAATGTCCCCAGATTGGGTTTGGGTAAATAAATATATGTAATTTAATGAAACCAAAAGCCTTAGTTCTACCTCTCAAGAATCTTGATGGTTCTGCAGAGGAACTGGTGGGGGGGTGGGGGTGGGGGTGTACTATGTCATTTTGGTCACAATCTATATCCAAGGACCACATGACCTGAAAGAGCTTCAGGAATACGAATGGGATCCTTATCATTAACAGAATGCAAGCTGCAGTTACATGCACTAAAAAAGAAAAGCATTTTTGTCCTTCAAAGATCGCTGTTAGTGGATATAGGGAACAAATTTTTTTGTATCTATTGGCTGATCACTACCTGTTTCTGGCATTTAGTTCCTTAAGGACAACTTGCAAGGCAGCAGTCTGCAGCACAGCAGACCCGGCATCAGCAGGTGGTGACCAGGCATACCTGAGGCCCACCCTCCAGACTCCAAGTGCAATCACACAGACTGAAGACTTTTAAAGCCTTGATCAATTATTAAATGTTTGGCACTTTATTAAATTAAATAAGCTCCAAAATTACATACAAATCAAAGGAGTAAGAAACAATAAATAGTTATTTAGCAAAACGCCTCTCCATATAGCCAGTAGCACTGTAGCCGAGGCTTAGCACACTGCTGTGACAAGAGGGCCTCTAGATTGCCATGCTCGCTCCCCAGGGACAGCTAAGAGGACACACACCTACTCCCTCTCCACATGGAATTTCCAGAACAGTTGAACTCTCATTCATTACCATCCCATTCATTATCATTTTTTTACATACATGAAACACACAGCAATGTATATACTAATAAGCCAAGAGCTTTATTGATGCAGCAGGCACTTTACAATGAACCCAAGAGAGTCCGCCTTCGCTGGGAAGACAGGATGTCTGTACAAACTCTCGGGTTTTTTCCACTTCAAAAAACAAGCTCTTTCTTTTACCACAGCCCTCGGATCTGCACCTGCCCCAGTCATCCCTCCCCCATTTTAAACAGGCAGTACACACAGGTACATCTGACCAGCACTGGCCAGCCACTCTGGTAGACAGTCAAAATGTCAGTTCTGCATTACTCGTACACAAAGGCATAGACTATCAGATCCTGCAAAGGATTTAGGAAACAGTAAGACGATTTCTCCCTCCACCTTGAAAATAAAATACATGTCAGAGGATTCATGTCCTGAAATAGTTTAATAGGGACTTCCTAGGAAGATGGTCCATTGTCAATTCCTTCTTCACCAGCCTGGGCATCCAAAATTCTTCTCAAGGTAACATGAGTCTTTTTTTTTTAAACAGTCTTTCTTGCTGTAAGAACTCTTATAATGGAGCCTAGTCCTCCTACTGCTAAGGCCTGTGGGGGCAGGGAAAGGAAACATGTTAAATGAGACCTGGCTGGCCAAGGGGAGCCTGGCTTGCCAGGGAGATGAAACCATGGACTCCCTGACCTAGATCCCACCATGCCACAGACCCTCTGAAAAAGGATTCCTGTAACAGAGCCCATGTTCTAGGGAAGGAGCCCTGTCCTTGGAGTCAAGGGTCCCGAGAGGTGCCAGCTCTTGAGGCAGAACTGGCTTAAGAACACTCACCAAGCACATGCGGCAGAGCCCATCAGGTTTCCCTTCTGACAAACTCATTGTTACCCACCTGCCAGCACTGCCCTAGGTACGGAAAAGCCCACCAGCCCGCTGCAAGCCGCCTGCCAATAGGGCTGGCACCAAGTCCCCTTAAAGGGATGAAAGGGCCCGGCCTCTGCACTATGCAGAGGGCTTGCTCACTTCCCCGAGCACCACAGCCACCCTCATCTACTGAGCCCAGGCAGAGAGAGGGGAGGCTGAGTAGGCACAGCAGCCCACCAGCAGGACCAGAAGCCACAGCGCAGCACCTAAGCTGCCTCAAGGGACTGACCCACCAGTTAAGAGAAAGACTCTTCAAACTCAACACTGAGCCTCTCAGGAAGGACGGTGTGTTAGCAATAGTCTGGTGTCCTTTAGTTGTAGGCATGCTTTCTGTGCTACTGGGGGTGGTGGGGGAGGGGGGCATAGTGGCACAAAGGACACAGGCTTGACCAAATGCTTTGCTCTTGTACTGACCCAAGTGAAAGGCAGACACAGCCTTTTCTGCTTCAGGTGGATGAAGGCCATATTAACTGACTGTCAAGGAGTCTGCCCACTGCCCCTCTGGCCTGGTGAGGCTGAGGCCATGCATGGCAGGAAGCCCTCAAAGCTGGCTGGAGGGCTCAGCCTGCATTTCTAAGACACCTCCCCCAGCCCCCCCAAAAACTCCCTCTCCTCAGCAGCTGCCTCCACCAATGCAAAGAAATTCTCATGAAGCCCCAACCAACCAGCAAGCCTCCCTCCTACCTAGGACTCCCTGTCTACCTTGCCATGTCATCTCCCTCCACGTCCTGCACCAAGGGTACCCTGTCCTGCCTTGCATTCATCAGCTAAAGAGCAAAATCAACAGCAATTACCAGAGACAGTAGATCCCTACCAGGTGCTTCCTTGGGAGAGGCAAGTGATCAGATGTCCCCTTTCCTCATATACCTACGAGACTGTCCTGTGTTTGTTCTGGAAAATGTGGCCTGCTGATGTGAACCCTAGGGTAGGTAAGTCAGTGGGCTGCCTGCAGGGAGCAATGTGTTCACATACCTTTTCATGCCACTGGAGTAACACTGCGCTGCTATTTTCTGTGGGCTTCTCAAACCCTTTATAAATGTACTTCATTAATAAATCAATGCCGTTTCTGTCCAGCGACTGCACAGCCTGTTCAATTTCACTGCTCTTAAAGTTTGTGAGCACTTTCAGGACCACGCCCTGGGCTCGTTCCTACAGAGGAAAAAGAAAGGGAGTGAGGTCCAGAGCCACAGCTCGGGCACATCCACGTACCCTACCGTGGGCACAGGAACACCACACCAAGTGGTCAGAACTCACCAGAGACACTGCCCAATTTCTAATTCATCTAAGATGGTTGGGGAAAAAAGGCTAAAATTCTTTTATTGGTTTAAATTTCAAGATATCCCTTATTCATGACAATAAGTTATTCCACTTATTTGGAGAGGAGTAAGTGGCTTACTAGAGACAAGCATCACATTTTTTAAGACATCAGCAAGGCCTTAGACTCCACAGGATTACAACGGTCAAGGTCTATTTTTTTTATAAAACAGGTTTTCTTGGCTGCAACTTCCTTCTGCATCATACCCAGTAACAGAGGGGACATTTCTCTCCACCTTTGTGAAGGTGCAGATGCCAGAATCCCAGATGCAGGGAGAACCCTTTCCCTGGGCCAAATTTCAGACAGCCTCAGTGGTGCAGTAAGCACACCTGGATCTTTTCAGCTAGTTTTTAAAAGACAGGAAATCTTTAAAGCATTTAAAGTTCTTCCGCAGATAAAGCCTATTCAATAGCCTATAAAAGCATAACCACTGATATAAGTCCCCCACGGCAATCTAATTTATCTATTTTGTTACTCAGCAGGGGCTGGGCTGACTTCTCACCTCATGAGACCTGGGAAGAAGTAGATGTTTCTTTGGGGAGCTTTTACTATAAATACTGACAGCTTTGATGTCAGAGGACATACCACCCACCTTCCACTGGCGGCTTCCAGGTGGGCAGAGCCTCTTGATAACCTGGGCTTTCCTGAGCCACAGGGAGGGTGGAGGGCACTTCTGCCAACCCTGTAAACTCCTATTTCTGCTTCCTCTTAAAACTTCCCCACCAAAGCAACTGCCCTTGAGGGGTAACCTGCAGTAAAGTCTGACTGAGCTCCCTTGCACCTGGCTCAGTGCTGGGCACTGTATCTGCCCTACTGGACCTCACGGCAACGTGCCCGTGAACTGGAGGTCATTATCATATTCTCATTCTAAAAAGGGAAGAATGAAGGCACAAATGGAGGTCTCCAAACTCTTCATCCAATGCTTTTTATTAAACTACTAAAGAAATTAAAGTGTGCTAAAACTTCTATCTTCCAAGACCTACCCAGGTCAGTGAGGTACCAACTGCTACCAGGAGGGGAATTTATTAAATCTAAAAGAAATTTCTGCCAACAAAACCAGACGATGCCTCCACCAATCTTAGTTGCATCCTGATACCACAGTCTGTGCTGAGATCTGAATGCCCAGCAGGCAAAAGAAAATTACAATCTGAGTTAGGTCCCCAAAGGTGACACCTATTTTAAGCTAAATTACATCAGCCAACTTTCATTTCCTCATGTGAAACACTGGCTTCAGCCAAAAAGCTTCAAAAATAGAACAAGGAATGGCTTCTGCCCAATCAGGTTTCTACTCCTGTTCATGCACCAATCCCCACATGTGAACAGAGCCTCCAGAGCAAAGCTGAATCTCCTGGCTTCCCTAGTGTGGGCTCCATCTTGACTAAGCTCGGTCTACGCCACTAGCGAGCCACTCCCAGCCCCGATTCCCCAGGTCCCTGCTTGGCTCCTATCTATGTTCCACATTCCAGAGGCAGCCCACCCCCCTCCCTCCCATCTTTCAGCTTTGAAATTCCTTTTCCCTAGCCAAACAAGGGCCGGTCCGTTATCAGCCACTGATAACCTTTAACTCATAACTCTTCCAATTTGGTGTCCCCTAAGCAATAAACAAGGTCCCAGAGGCTTAACAGGAAATGCAAGCTAGTTTGCTCTTCACTTAAACCTAGCACAGCTGGCAAACAAAAATCATTCAGAAAATGGACGGGCAAAGGCAAGGATCACATACCTAGTCCATGGGAGGAAAAAAGTCACTGCTTTAGCACCGGTCTGTCAAGCAACCACTACCTCCATTGACAGATAAAGGCCTTCAGCAGGCAAGAGATCTGGGGAGCAATGATGGCATCCCTGCAATCACATGTCACTTATGAAGCTGGCCTCCACACTCAACTGGCTTTAGAGAACACACTGTGGAGGCTAGGGGAACCCTGCCCAGACCTTGCACTCCTCTAGACCTTTCTCAACCATGACACTACTGACAAAATTAGACTGGATAATTCTATGATGTGGGGCTGTCCTGTGCATTGTAGGATGCTCAGCAGCATCCCTGGTCTCTATCCACTAGATACCAATAACACTCCTAAGTTGTGACAATCAAAGTGTCTCCAAACATTTCTGAATTTCCAGGGGGCAGGGGTGAGGTGGAGGTGCAAAATTGCTCAAAATCACTGCTCCAGATAGATCCCTGCTCCAGTGAACCAGAAGCTGCTTCACTGAAGGAGAAAAGAAACTAATTTTATTTTATTAAAAAAGATGACCAGTAAGGGGATCTTAACCCTTGACTTGGTGTTGTCAGCACCACGCTCTCCCAAGTGAGCTAACCGGCCATCCATATATAGGGATCCGAATCCGTGGCCTTGGTATTATCAGCACCACACTCTCCCAAGTGAGCCACGGGCCCACCCTGGAACTATCTTAAACCACCACAAGATCAGGTGCTTTCACACATCTCATCCCAAAAAACCCTTTGCAAAAAGAATAATTATTCCCATTTTATTTTTTATTTTATTTATTTATTTTTTCCTTTTTGTCTTTTTTACTGACCGGTAACGGGATCACAACCCTCGTTGTTGCGCCCGTACCGGGGACCGGAAACGGGATCGCAACCCTCGGTGTTGCGCCCGCACCGCGCTCAGCCAGTGAGCGGGAACTGGTCTCCACATGGGATCCGAACCCTCGGCGGGAGCGCCGCCGTGCTCCCAGACGGTGCACTCTCCAGTGCGCCACCAGGCTGGCCCTTATTCCCATTTTTTTTTTTTTCCTTTTTGTCTTTTTTCGTGACTGGCAACGGATCACAACCCTCAGTGTCGAGCCCGTACCGGACCCGGACCGGCAACAGGATCGCAACCCTCAGTGTTGCACCCGCACCTCGCTCAGCCAGTGAGCAGACCCGGACCGGCAACAGGATCGCAACTCTCAGTGTTGCACCCGCACCTCGCTCAGCCAGTGAGCGACCGGTCTGTACGTGGGATCCGAACCCTCAGCGGGAGCGCCGCTGCACTCCCAAGCGGCGCACTGTAGCAGTGCGCCACCGGGCCGGCCCCACCTTATTCCCATTTTAAAGGCAATGAAAGTGAAGCTCAGGGGAAGGCAAATTACCTGCCCACAGTCACAAAGCTAAGCTGTCCAGCTGGCCTTCAAACCCAAGCTCTTTCTATAATCCCTTGTTGCCACTCTACCTGCAGACCCAAGCTGCACGTGCGGGACACTTGCTGTATCCAGTGATGCGGATGTTGTCCCATGATGCTCCCATGGAACCTATTAGGCCAGCACAGCTGTCTTCCATTTAACAGAGGAGAATGCTGCAGTTGGGAGAGGGTATGTGACCTATCCAGGGTCACACAGCTAGAGCATGATTAGAGCTGGGTCTGTGTGGTTGGTGTGATTTCCCACCATAACACACTTCCCTGTGTGGCCCTAAGACAGAGCCCTTCACCACCCTAATAAACCAACCCCTCTTCCTGCTCCCCTCTCCTCTGTCCCAAGACTCTTAGAAGTCTTATGGCTTAAATTTAATGACCTCCCAAGCTGGCTGGTTAGCTCAGTTGGTTAGAGTGCAGTGTGGTAACACCAAAGTCAAGGGTTTGGATCCCAATACCGCCAGCTACGAGGAAAAAAGTAAAAAAAAAAAATCAATGACCTAATACTTGGCACATGGTAGGGACTCCATAAATATCAGTTCTTTCCTCCTTCCTACCTGGGCCCCACATTTGCCAGGGTTTCAGTTCTCCTCATCTACTAACCTCCCTTTGCCAAATCCCAAGAGGTACATCTCCCTGGTACCAAGGTTTCTGACACTGCCATCAGTGAAGAAAGTACCATCCCCTGGATATGCTAGGCCTAGGCCTCTAAGCGGCCTCCAGGAATCTGACTATCACTAGGCAGGGGAGTACCAAGACATGACCTTCAATAAGTGCCTGCAGCAACAAGACCAAGGCAGTAACTGAGGAAGTCTCGGTCTCCTCATCAGTGGAACGAGGGTCCCGAGCTAAAGGCCTGATCCTGGAGCCCTTTCACCACTAACTGCCCATGAGTCAGGCCCTGCACCAGACCACAGAACCAACCTTTCCTCCTGGGGGCCCTTCCCATGGTCCCATGAAACCAGCAGGGTAAGGGAGGTGATCCTGATGGGGCAGGAAATACAAGTTTGAATCTCCACCTTTGAGAACACATTCTTGTTCAAACAAAGTCTGAAGGTTTTTGTTTTAAAGGCATATTAGGGGAGCACTGCAGGACTCCTCCCAAAAGAGGTGGGCCTGACTTCCCAAGCTGAGTCAACCGATTGAACACCAAGAACCTGATTTATATACAGCGTGAGCCTCCAGCCCTGCCCTGACAAGTGCGGGGGAGGAGAATGCGCTTCCTGTAACACCATTTGAATAAAGAAAAATCCTTCCTCTGAAAGTAAATCAGTTTCCTGTGCTCAAACTGCTAAAGGACCAAGCAGGCTGTGACAATCACCTTTATTTTTAATCTTTTCTAAGTGCCTTTTTTCTGTGGTCACAATAACAGTCATTTCCAGTCGTGGGGCTCTACTTTTACACTTCACTTTATACTGTCTGGTTTTTCTTAGATCTGAACCACTAGTTTTTTCCACTTCTTCCTACCTATGAAGGGTACTGGGGGGGAGCCTAAACTCACTTGTTGAGCGGGGCTGAGACTATCAAGGTCCAAGACCCAAGGTGTTCGGAGGAAGGTGAGAACAGATGAGAAAGGGCGGCATTAAGCTGAAGGGTCAGACTGACTCCGGGGTAGCAGGAGCACGACCTCAGGCCGCAGGGCTGGACTAAGGCTGCAGCCTTTTTCCCCCTTAGGCCTTTTCTTCCCCCCACCCATCCCCCCACCTATTTTCATGTTGTGCTGCAATCGGGCCCAGGAAGGCCCATGAGGACTGTGCCGAGCAGCCCTAGCCGCTCACTTCCTAAGCGGGGACTCACCTCGGCCCCTCCCGCCGACAAAGCCCCATTGAATGGCCCTATTTCCTGCAAGGGAGGGATGGAGTGATTGGACGCCCAAGGAAGGGACACCCTGAAAGGATGAGGCAAGGGGGTTAGTGGAGGGAGAGGACAGCCGCACGGAGGAGGGAGGGACCTGCGGGCCGGAGGCGCGTCCTGTGTGCCTCTGGGGCCGCGCCGGGAGCCTGTCCCCCAGGGTCCAGGGGCCGCGTGGGGATGCGCTGCTGAGGCGGAAGGCGCCGGGGGCCCGGGATGAGGGAACTGGGGAGCCCAGGACTGAGGCGAACGTGGCCCGAGGGGAGCAGGATCGGAAAAGAGTTGGGAGAGTGACCAGAGGGGGTCAGGAGGAAGGGGTGTCGGGAGGCCGGGCCTGAGGGGCCCGAGTGGAGCATGAGGCAAGTGGGAAGGCCGGGCCGGAGGGGAGCGCGAAGGCCGTGCTGCCGCGTCGGGAAGGATATTGCCGCAGGAGCCCATCCACCTCGCTAGGGTCCGGGCCTGGCTCTGCCGCCGCCGCCGCCGCCTCCTCCTGTTCGTCCACGAATTTGTTCTCGTCAAACTCGTCGATGTCCACCCGGCGGAAGCGCGAAGACAGTGTGTTCCGGGCCATGGCGGGAGCTCGGCACCCGCTGGGCCGGCTCCGCTCCGCTCGGCACCGGATCCGGCTCGGGGGCGGGAAGCGGCAGCTCGGGGGCGGGAAACTGCTGCGTAATAACTTCGTATAGCATACATTATACGAAGTTATACGACTCATGAAGCCCCAACCAACCAGCAAGCCTCCCTCCTACCTAGGACTCCCTGTCTACCTTGCCATGTCATCTCCCTCCACGTCCTGCACCAAGGGTACCCTGTCCTGCCTTGCATTCATCAGCTAAAGAGCAAAATCAACAGCAATTACCAGAGACAGTAGATCCCTACCAGGTGCTTCCTTGGGAGAGGCAAGTGATCAGATGTCCCCTTTCCTCATATGCCTACGAGACTGTCCTGTGTTTGTTCTGGAAAATGTGGCCTGCTGATGTGAACCCTAGGGTAGGTAAGTCAGTGGGCTGCCTGCAGGGAGCAATGTGTTCACATACCTTTTCATGCCACTGGAGTAACACTGCGCTGCTATTTTCTGTGGGCTTCTCAAACCCTTTATAAATGTACTTCATTAATAAATCAATGCCGTTTCTGTCCAGCGACTGCACAGCCTGTTCAATTTCACTGCTCTTAAAGTTTGTGAGCACTTTCAGGACCACGCCCTGGGCTCGTTCCTACAGAGGAAAAAGAAAGGGAGTGAGGTCCAGAGCCACAGCTCGGGCACATCCACGTACCCTACCGTGGGCACAGGAACACCACACCAAGTGGTCAGAACTCACCAGAGACACTGCCCAATTTCTAATTCATCTAAGATGGTTGGGGAAAAAAGGCTAAAATTCTTTTATTGGTTTAAATTTCAAGATATCCCTTATTCATGACAATAAGTTATTCCACTTATTTGGAGAGGAGTAAGTGGCTTACTAGAGACAAGCATCACATTTTTTAAGACATCAGCAAGGCCTTAGACTCCACAGGATTACAACGGTCAAGGTCTATTTTTTTTATAAAACAGGTTTTCTTGGCTGCAACTTCCTTCTGCATCATACCCAGTAACAGAGGGGACATTTCTCTCCACCTTTGTGAAGGTGCAGATGCCAGAATCCCAGATGCAGGGAGAACCCTTTCCCTGGGCCAAATTTCAGACAGCCTCAGTGGTGCAGTAAGCACACCTGGATCTTTTCAGCTAGTTTTTAAAAGACAGGAAATCTTTAAAGCATTTAAAGTTCTTCCGCAGATAAAGCCTATTCAATAACCTATAAAAGCATAACCCTGTGTCTTTGTTAATGGCAATGGAGTGACACTAGAGTGCTGATTAACGCCTGCTAGTTAGGGCAGCAATGGAACTACCCAATCAGGAAGCTTGACACCTTCCCCAGTTTGTGAATTCCCATTTAATTTTCGGGACCCCATTCAAGTGTTTGTTCCACTGGGAACGTTAATACCGCCGATATTTTGAGCGATTGTTATGCATCATGTCTTGTGCTAAGAGCTTTACATGTGACTTCTCTAATCCTCATAAATACCCCATTTCACAGGTGAGAAAACAGACTCCGGAGAGAAGGGATTAGCCAAGAGTCTCAACTGCTCCCTGGCAACAGAGCAAGAATTTGAAACCCAGTCGGACTCACTGAAAAAAGGCTATAAAAAAAGCTCTTTCCACTGCCGCCCGCAGATTCCACCAGAACATTTATGGAGTTGGGTTACAGCTGACACCAGCCCTCCCAGCCCAGCTCGCACTTAACATTCCTCCAAGGCAGGCCGCATTGATTCACCTGTGAAAATCCTCAGCCCTCGTGCCCTCGGCACCCCGGCGTCTGGCTCACAGCGGCACAGACCGCGAGCTCCGCAAAGTTTCCCCAGTGAGTGAATGAATGAATGAATGAATGAACGAATTTCAGTCCCTCACTGCGCCATCTCCGGAAAGCCACCGGCCCACCCTGGGCCTCGGTCCCCCCAGGTGAGCCGCTCAGGGACTCACGCCGACCTAGGTAGCCCGCGTCGCCGGGAAGAAGCAGGAAGGGGCGGAGCCGGCCCCTCCCGCCGCGGCGCCATTGGCCGCGCCCGTCGCCACCCGGCAGCAGTTGCAGAGGTCAGCCCCGCCCCTTCCTCTTTCCCTCTGAGCCGGCGGCGGCGGCGGTGGCTCTGGCAGCCATGGTGAGGGCGAGGGAATCGGGCGCCATCCGAGCGCCGTGGGGTGCGGGGGCTGGGCTGGCGGTGTGCGGGATGAGCCCCGGGATCCCATCTGACAGCCGGGCCCGTGGATCGCGGCGTGGGTGGCCTGGCGCCCCCGCACACCCCCTCCGCCGTCTCCCCTGCCGGGCTCGGGCCCGCGTCTTCCAGCCTGCGGAATGAGGGTGGCGGCTCGGCCTGGGGGTCGGGGTGCTGAGCGGGCCACGGCGCGGGTAGAGGGGAGATGGCCTCGCGGGGTGTCCGACCCAGCCCCTTTCTCGAGCGCAGGCTAAGATTAAGGCTCGGGACCTTCGCGGCAAGAAGAAGGAGGAGCTGCTGAAACAGCTGGACGACCTGAAGGTGGAGCTGTCCCAGCTGCGTGTCGCCAAAGTGACAGGCGGCGCGGCGTCCAAGCTGTCCAAGATGTAAGTGACCGGCGGCCGGACCACGGCCCTCTGGGGGTGGGGGACACGCGTGCGTCGGAGCGTTTGTGAGTTTCCAGAGTTGACTTAAGGACCGTCGGGGTGCTCACGCAGAGTGGCCCTGCGCCGCGTGGGAGGCTGCTGTGTGCCTCCCCTCCTCCCCGCCTTTGACCTGGGGTCCCTTTGTCCAGAGTGCCCGTGCTCGGTTCCTCCGGCTGGAGAAAGAACTGGGCATCCCTGAAGACCCGTCTTAATGCTGCCTCCGCAAGCCTAGCAGCACCCTTTGCCCCCTCCTTCCACCAGCGCTTGATTTTTTCCCACACCTTCCGCCACTTGGTAGGTGGGTGCCCTGTACCCCTTACTTGAGTTGTAGGGTAACCTTTGATTTATGTGGATGAGAATCAAGGAGACTTGTGAAAGGAAGATGGGTTAGGAGTCGGTCGACCTGGGTACAAATTCCACTTCTGCCATATCCTACCCGATCCATAGGTTGGCTCACCTCCCAGAGGGATTTTCCCCTCTTTTATAAAATGAGTGCTGCCCTCTGTCCCATCTACCCATCCCACAACCTTCCTGCGGGGGTGGGGGGAGTGAATGAGTTGGGGGACAAATAGCAAAGTTATATGCTGAACCTCCGGACCATGTTTACCAGCCGTCTACTGGGTGACTCATCCCCTAATGTGGTTCATGTTCAACATAACTACAAATTAACTGGCCAAATGTTTCATTGCTCCCTCCTGAGTGGCCTCTCCTTTGCTTCCTTAAGCTGGTCTGTGTGCCCAGCTTGAGGCATGATCCACTGCATCAGCTCATTTAGATTGCCATTGGTTTAGGTCTTCCTAACTCTCAGGATACATTCTTGGCCTGGCGGGTCTTTTCCAGTTCTGCTCACCTCCAACCTGCAGTTTTTCTTTTTGTTTAAGACGACTGGTAAGGGGATCTTAACCCTTGACTTGGCGTTGTCAGCATCACGCTTTCCCACGTGAGCCATGAGCCGGCCCTCAACCTGCAGTTTTTCTTAAGCCTTTACTTCCCTCTCAATGAACGCTTCATAGCTCAAAAGCTCTGGATTCGTCAGCCATCCACTCCCTGTCCCCATTTATGGGGTGCCCATCCCCAGGCCCTCTACGTACTGTCCACAGATCTCACTCGAATAGCACCTTCCTTCTGAATGAATATGGATGGGCTGGTGGGGAATGCCACCACTGCCCCTGCCCTGTGACAGTGTCAGCCCTGAACGAGATGTCTTGGGAAGTGCTGTGTGTCTTCATCATCTTCACTGATGTCTCTGTTTTGTAGTCGAGTTGTCCGCAAATCCATCGCTCGCGTTCTCACCGTCATTAACCAGACTCAGAAAGAAAACCTCAGGAAATTCTACAAGGTGAGTCTAGGCGAGGACGTTGGCTGCACGAAATTAAGTTCTAGCCCTCCCCTGGCCAGGGGGCATTGTGAAGTGGTTCTCCTGCTGGGGCATGTGGGACTGGGAGTGGCTGGGCTCTGCAGAGCCTTTCTGGTTCCTGGCTGGGTTCACCGTCTTACCATTGTCTCACACTGGCATGTGGCACTGAGGCTGCACGTCCTCATGCTGCAGATGTCACAAAATGGTGGTGTGGTGGGGGTCTGGCTGGAGATTTGGGTTTGGAATCCAGCCTTCACAGCTGAGTGAGCTGGGGCAGTTTATGGGAATTAACTGTTTAAATGTTGTAACGCTCTCTCGTTGGCACTTACTGTGTGTCAGTCACTGCCAAGTACCTGACATTGTCATTTTTTAGATGAGGACCCCAAGGCTTAGAGAGGTTAGGCTACCCAGCTTCCCTACAGTCAGTGGAGTGATGGGCCTAGGTTCCAAACCATGACTTGTGGAGGGCTGGATTGAGTGCTCCTGGGAGAATTTCATAGGTGTTTACATGTGGCTACCAAGCACCTGATGTGGCTACAGTGACTAAAGAACTCCTTTTTTTTTTTTTGTCCTTTTTGTGACTGGTAAGGGGATCGCAACCCTTGGCTTGGTGTCGCCCACACCGCGCTCAGCCAGTGAGCGCACCGGCCATCCCTATATAGGATCCAAACCCGCGGCGGGAGCGCCGCTGCACTCCCAGCGCCGCACTCTCCCGAGTGCGCCACGGGGTCAGCCCTAAAGAACTCATTTTTAACGTAAGCAACTTCATGTGGCTAGTGGCTGCTCTGTTGGGCAGCAGAGCTCTAAGGGAGGTTAGTAAATTGGAAAAGGACAAAGGCCAGACCCGTAGCAGCCAATATGAGGGGTGTGGGTAGACGAAGACTTTCCTGCCTCCAGTATCTTCCCAGGCCCTCCTTCATTGTCCTGCGTGGCTTCTTTCTGCAGTTCTCTGCCCACCTGCAGGGGCTTGGTGCTCTCAGAATCCCTTCTTACCTCGTGCACGCCTGCCCCTCCAGGCTGTTGGCAGTTTCCAGGAGGAGCCTGCTGTGACATTCTTCAGAGCTCCTGTGCATGCTCTGCTTCCTGTCCTTTCAGCTCGCAGCCACAGTGCTCGCCTTTGAGGCTGGTGCCAGTTTTTAAGAGAAGCCTTAATTCTTCCCTCCTCCCCACCGATGCACTGCTTGTTCTGTCTTCCCTGTTGGGCTGGGAGCCCCTTGGGCAGGGAGGCCAGCACCCAGCATAGGACCTTGTCCTGTAGAGGGCCCAGGGGACCTTTGCAGAACAAAGAAGAGACCAGTGAGAGCCAGCTTAAGTCTAGAACCCTTGGCCGGGAGCACATGGAGCAGGAATGAGTGGGAGCAGTGGGAGCCAAGGCTGAACAGATGATAGTTCTTTGAAAGCTTTGGGCAGGAGTGGTGCCAGGGTCCTAAAGCAGGAAAATGGCATTGCCTCTCCTGGCAGGATGACCTTGGCCAAGCCAGATCCTCCTCTGAGGCTCGTTATGTGGGAGTGCTATCACAAGCAACACTTGGCAGACCGTCCAGGTGTCTCCCGCCCTCCCTCAACTCCCATCTGCACTAGCACGTGTAACTTGAAGCCAAGGAAGAATAAGCACCCTGGGACTTGGGGGGTGCTGCATACCCCTTGTTGGGTGGTGGTGCAGCTTTGACTCCTGACTGACTGGGAGTCGGCAAGTGGAAGGAGCACGGGGTTGGGAGGCAGACCACTGAGGCGCAGGCTCCGGGCCTGCCACAGCCTTGCTGAGAAGTGGGTGTCTCTGAGCCCAGTAATTCAGTAGATTTACATAAAATGGAGAAGGCCCCACCAGCCTGGGATTTGGGGAAATAAGTGAGCTAGTGAATAGCCTGTTGACCTAGCCCCAGATTGGTGGCCCTTGCTGAGTGACACTGGACGTCCTACAGCTCCTCACACTACGAATCACCTTCCCCATCCCAGCTGGCTCCCTCCCTCCATCCTTCCCCACGTCCCCTGTGCCCTCCCAGGCTCCTTTAGCTCCTGCAGCAGCTCCTGAAACCCCGCTCCTCAAGTTCCTCCACGCTTCCTCTCCCAGGGCAAGAAGTACAAGCCCCTGGATCTGCGGCCCAAGAAAACGCGTGCCATGCGGCGCAGGCTCAACAAGCACGAGGAGAACCTGAAGACCAAGAAGCAGCAGCGGAAGGAACGGCTGTACCCGCTGCGGAAGTTCGCGGTCAAGGCCTGACAGCGCCAATAAACACGAAACTGGCAGGCGCTGCCAAGTGTGTTATTTCCACAGACCGGGCTGGAGAGATGGGATGGGGGCTGAGGCTGGCGGGCCCTGTCTGATGGGTTCCAGGAAGCTGCCCCGGTGTGGGGCCGGCACAGCCCCGGCCACAGTGATGTACTGACTGCCCTGCTGGTTACTTTGGGCCTGTGGCACGGAACAGCCCTGTCTGTGCACCCTTGGCAGGGAGGGGGTGAGGTCTGAGGACTGTCGTAGTAAACTCGAGGGGCCCTGGGTCGTTTGGTCTTATGGTGGATTTGGCTTCTTGCCTGATGAGCAGCTCCAGACACCAAGAGTTTCCCATCTGGGGTGAAGGCACAGGCATGGGCCACATCCAGGACTCCCTGCCAAAGCACCGTATGGGGCTCGGGGTGCAAGTCCTGCCTGCCCCTGGGGGTGGGGGGCTTCCCCTGCTCCCTCTGGTGCTGCAGCCACAGGCCTCACCTTCAGGGTCTCCAGGCACTTTCCTGTGTTGCAGTCCCAGGTTTTGACCTGGAAGTAAAAACAGGTGGGGAGATGAGCCTCAGGCCAGTCTGGCATCTTTGAAATCATGTCTGGGTGAGTCCCAGGCAATTCATTTTAGCCTCTTGTTCTAGGTTTTGTCATCTGCAGTGTCTTAAATGCTCAGCATAGTGTCTGACACAAATTGAAGTGCAGAAGTTTCCTTTTGCCTGAAGCTCTTCAGGTCATAGAAATGTCAATGCCACCACCACTTGGGCTGGCCCAGACCTTAGTGTAGGCTATTAGATACCAGACTAGCACCTTGCTCCCTCCTAGTTAGGGCAAATGAGGATGCAGACGTTTCTAGAAATAGAGTGCTCAGGGAGGGAGCAGGAGGGGCATGGGGTTGGCACTGTGGGGGGTTGGGGTGGTTACCAAGTGGGAGTAGCCAGCACTGGCCAACTGCGACTCATTGGGAGAGAAAGCTATGCTCTTCACCCAGGTGACATGGCCCTTGAGCTGGAAAGGCAGGCTGCCGGTTGTGGGCTTGCATGTGTGGATGGTCTTGTCCCAGGAGCCGGACGCCTGAACAGCAGGCAGCTCTGAGCCCTTGGGGTAGGGCCTGCATGCTCACTGGGCTCCAAAATGGCCTGAGACCCTTTTTTAGGGTCTTGCAGCCAGCAAAGGAGCAACCTGGAACCCAGGGCAGCTCAACTTACCAGGATGCCAGATGCTGAGTGGCACAGGCAGCTGATGTTGCCACTGTGGCCCACTAGTTCCTGGTGGGAGACTGTTGGGGTCCCTACCCGCAGGTCCCAGATGAACAAGGTGGAGTCCCAGCAACCAGTGACATGCGGGCAGCTACCGTGAGTCTGGACCAGCCAGCCCATGCTCAGCCTCCTAGTCCCGAGGCTGGACTTGGAAGCCCATGCCCTTCCCCTGCTCAGCTCCAAGTGGGAAAGTGGTATATGGGGGCTGCTGAGGTGGGGGCCAGGGCAGAGACGAGGCTTACCAGGCAGTCTGCACTGGGTAAGAAGTCACTGCTCTGGACGGGGTCACAGTGCCCAACTAAGGCGCAGGATCTGACCAGACTAGAGGAGAGAGCCCTGAGCTGTGGGAGGTCAGCCCAGAAACCTTGTGGTGCCAGATCCTGGGCCCTGCAGGGCTGCCTGGGTGATGTGACACGGCACAGGGTCTGGGGAGGCTTCCTGGGCCTTGACAGGAGAGGGAGGGCAGTGCAGGCAGGAGGGACCACAGGTGCCGAGGCCTGGAGGCTTGAGCACTGGTAGGGTTGGGGGGAGTCTGAAGGGGCGCTGCAGCCAGATTGGGGGGGAGGGGTGTCAGGCAGCTGGTGTGGGCTTGGGTGGTGGGGAAGCACTGGAGGGTTTGTGCCAGGAGGGCAAGACCTCCAAGGAATGACCTCTCGAGAGCCAAGTGGAGGGTGTGCCCCAGCCCCTCCACATACCTGCACCTCCCAAAGCATCACCTTGTCCCAGCCACCTGATGCCAGCTGCCTCGAGTCAGGGCTGAAGCTGACTGTCTCCACACTCCGTTGGTGACCTGCAGGCACCAGTCCAGGATACCGGGGGGGGGAGGGGGCGCGATGGTGACAAAAGACACAGCAAGGTCTGAAAGAGAACCCAGGCCTGGCTGCTTGCCTCCCGGTCCCACCCAGCCCACTCACCCTTCAGCACCTGCAGACACTTGGCTCTGGCTACATCCCACAGGCGGGTGGTGTGGTCACAGGAGGTGCTGGCAAAGAGGCGGCCATCGGGAGAAGCGGCAGAACTTCACAGAGCCTGGGGCAAGTGGCCATGACGGTGCATGGGTGGCCATGGCTGCCTGCCATGAGGAGGGCACTACTCACCTCCTGCCCTTGCAGCTCAGCCCCTGCTCATTTCTCCAGCTGCGCCTCCTACCTCCCCGCACCCAGACTCTTGCTGCCTGGAGGCAATGCCTGCATTTCCATACTTTGGTCTGGATTGGGCTCAGCTTGGAACACCCAACCCCAGTTTTCCCTCCTGGAAAATCACCAATACCCAAATCAAATGCAAGCACCTC